TTTTTTTTTTTTTTGTAGTATCTCAGATTTTGAGATAATACTATAAAATGAAGTCAGTTGAAAGAATGCTTTACAAAGTAGTCTACATTTAATGTGGGAAAAGAGATAGGTAATCTTAAGATTTTTTTAATATTTAGTCTGCCAGTTTTAGTAAATTTTTATGCTATGTCTAGTTTTTTCTCCATAATGCTGTGAGGCATAAAGTCTAAATTATCATTTTATCTTTGAAGAAAATGAGGCATCAATAGCCTAAGGAGCAATGCTAGGACTCAGATTCTTGCCTTAAGTACTATAAAAATCTTAAGTGGCTTTTGTCACAAGCCACAGAAAAGGAGTCACCATTGAGACCCCTCCTCATTCCACCTTGAAACTGTCAGAAGGTGTTGTAACAGAACCTCGAGAACATAAAGCAGGGACATCTGCCTTTCCGTTTTGATACAAACACTGTCTTCCCAGTCACCCTCATTTCTTACCTAGATCAGTATATGCCAAACTTTTTACTCATGTACCTGATCAGTAAAAACAAAATTTGAGCATGTACCTTAATTGTGATGAAGATACCTGATATTTATTGAGTGTTCCCTGTGTGCTAGGCACTGTTCTAAGAGCTTAATACTTACTTATAAATTATATGCATACACTAACATTCATAATAATGGTACATAAATTATAAAACAATTTTGAATGGTGAGAATTATAATGCTTAAAATTTTTTTAATAGTACAAAATATTTTCTTCTCACTAACTTGTGTGTGCATTTACTTACATATTTGGTGAGGACAGTGTGATTGAATATGTTACCTTGTTTTTGAAAATCTTGTTTTAACAATTTATTATCCAGATGAAGGTCTGGTCTAAGTGTTGTTGTTTTTTAAAAAATTAGATTTAATGCTGCTGATAACTCACAAATATATTGATCCAAATGGAAGAAGTATATCTTCTATTTTAAGTCATTATACTAAATTTTCAGTTCCATTGTCAGCTGTATGAATGTTTTTCAGAGAATTCTCTGTTGAGTTTCTGTCTTCTCTAATACCAATAAACTGTTTTTGTAAATTAATCAAGTTAGGAGTAACTTGTACTTTGGGGGTAATTGGGTTAAAAATGATCTTTTCAGAGTTTGTAAGTATAAGATTTGAATGTTTGTATAGCTTAGAGGTCTGCAAACTACTTCCTGCAGGGAACAACTAGTTTATATCTACTTTAGTACAGCCTTGAGCTCAGGTTGTTTTTTATATTTTTAAATGGTTGGGGGCAGGGGGGGCTCAAAAGAATATTTTGTGACATATGAAAACTAGATGAAATTCAAATTTAAGTGCCCATCAATTTTTATGGAAATGGCCACACTCATTTGTTTGTGTATTATTGTCTGTGGCTCTTGCATACTGCAACAGGGGAATTGAGTAGTTGCCACAGAGTGTATGGCTCACAGAGCCAAAACTACTTATTGTCTGGCCCTTACAGAAAAAGTTTGCTGACTCCTGGTATAGATTATACTTCTGTCATTTTCAGCTTCAGAATGATAAAGTGATAGGAAAATTTTCAACTTTTTTTTGTACCTACCTTTTGATGTCTTCTGTCAATGTGTAAAATCCTATACATTATCTTTTTAGAGACTGCTTCTCCCTCATTCTAGATCTCTTTTTTTTTTTTTTTTCCTCCTAGGACTCTAATTACATGTATATCTTTTCACTGTGTCCCTTATATCTCAAGGGGAAAAGTTACCCCTAATTCCAGCTGACTTTTTTGGGTTTGCATCTTTCATTGGAACTTGGGCCCCAATCCTTCACTATTTCATTTGCTCTCTAGTGCCTTCAAACATATTAAATAAAAATTGTCCAGTTCTTTTAATTGTTCCCTTTGGGAGGTTTGGCCCAACTTGCATAGTCCACTGTTAATGAAAGCAGAGTCCATTTCTAAACATTTAAACAAATACTCTCTCCATAGCATGAGTTACTCTGCATTTATAGTTAAAACATCACTTACCTTGAAGAGTCAGATTAGATATGTTTATTATTTTGAAAATATCTACCAAATAGTTTTATTGACAGCTACTTAATCATTACAGAAAAAAATCAGCAAATCTCAAACATTTGTTATGTTCACAAGAAAAGTGCTCATCTTATTGAATTTGACAGCTCTTAAGGGCTTTGACACAAAATAACCAGCACAGTTGTTCATGAAGATTTTCACAGTTAATCCCATCTCATTATAAAGCACAGATAGTAAAGCTTCTTTTATTTAAACTAACACAGTCTGTGAATTCACCTTCTTGGGCACAAACTGCAATACACTACAGTACTGTAAAATCAAATGAACAAATAGAAGTGCCCCTGTCACACTCAGAGGTGGAGAACTTCCCCTCTTCCACGTTGCCCTGAACAGTTTACAGACCTACTGAGGGTGTCGCTGTCACACCATTTATTAAATATCTTTCAAGCTAGTTCCCTCCCTCTCCCCTCCTCACTTTCTCCCTTTTTTCTTTCTCATAAAGTATATGTTCATAGATTCCAGGGGATAATCTTGAGCACCCTATATACTGTTCCAGTCCATCTTTAATCCTTTATAGGGGTTATTCCATACAGCAGACTAATCTTTTAAAAATACAAGTTCAGTCATATTCTGCTTTCTTAGAAAACGATAAGACTTCATACTGCACTTAGAATAAAATCTAGACTTCTTGCTCAGATATTTTAATTATTAGAACATAACGAGGATGTAAGATCCTTAAGAATGGGGACCTTGTCTTTTTCACTAGTGTATTATGAGCACCTGGAACAGAACCTCATGAAGAGATGGTGTGAATAAATGTTTGGTGAATAAATACTGTATGAATAAAAGGGAATTAAATACCTGGAATTTCATATTTGTGGTACTAAAAAAATTAAGACTCCGTTAAAGGGTAAACTGATTTGTCTTTTTAGATTGCTCTGTACAAAATCATTACACAATAGCTGTGGATTTTTTTTTCATTGAAAGTTCTAAGGCTTCTCAGCTATCATTTCTATAAACTGCAACACTATTGATGTTTTAATATTTTTCTTGTCCCTTCTGTATGTTTTTGCTGTAACTAGTGTGTGTATATGTATATATAGTGATATATATATAGTGATCAAATTATAAAAACCTAACTGCTAGAAGTTGGGTTTAACATATATATATATATATATATATATATGTGGGTCATATATTTTCTTTCATCACATTCACAGCCCTTTATTCAACTATGAATCAGAGTGATTGACCCCCATCTTGGCTGCCTCAGTGCTAATAGGTACCAAAAAGGGTACCTGTTCCTAATTTCTAATAGTTTGTCTATCTGTTCACAACTGCTATTTCAGTAGTTGACATTGAATATTTATTTTCAGGCTAAATTTTGGTAGTATATTGTTGCTTTGATCACTTACTAAGATGTTTTTGAAAATAAATGCTGAATACTTTGTTTCCAAAATTTGAGATGTTAACTTTTTCAGGAAGCTCATAAGATGGTGAGAGAAGCAAATGTCAAGCAGGCAACAGCAGAAAAACAGCTAAAAGAAGCACAAGGAAAAGTAAGTTTTTTATTGCTTTTAATAGTATAAAACGTAAAGAAATTAGTGATTATATTTTTTATTTTAACCACAGCACTAAGTTTTATTAGGGATTTCATTAAGGTTAAATCTCTGGGATTGAAGGAGTTAATTAGGGAGCACAAAGCCCATGAAGTCTCCCCAGATTTCACAGTGAGCCACCTGCTCAGGCTCTTCGTGGGGTCGCTGCCTTGTTCCAGGCACAGGTCACTGTAAGGATGCTGCTTTGGCCCCATGGGCCGGTAGGAGGGTAAGTCTTCCCCACCCAAGACGTGAATAGCATGAAGGCTACGAAGCTGAAGAGGTGCTTACACATGAGACTCCAAGAAACGGGCATGGGGGACGTGTCCACGTGGTTCCTGATATACACATCTAGGTCCCAGTGAATGGTTTCACCCCAGTTCAGCCTCAGGTTGGGGTGGTCCCAGACGTATCACAGATCCCTCTCATGCTGTGAGTGGTCACGGAGCTTTGGGTAGATGCCATGCCCCATGCCATCATCTGGGTACCCCTTGTAGTCTTCTACCTGTGTACTGCATATTCTACTTCTTGGCAGCAGCAGCCCATTCTTCTGGGGTCTTGGGATAGGGCCCAGGGCCATGTCCTTGTTAAAGTGGGAGGCTGTCCGTCCACACAGTGACGCCCGTTCTGGGCTGCCCTTTGCAGCCTTCGGACTCCCAGGACCCCCGCCCTGGCCACCACCATCTTGACCTTGTTCCCATTTCCTAGTGATTCTTAAAGATACCTTATCAGTTACTGGGTTTGTTCTGATTGTGAAAGTAGTGCTCATTTTAGAAGGTTTGGAAACTATAAAGGAGGAAAGAACCTACTACGTAGATAAAGTTAATAGGGAGCTTTTGGTGTCCATTTATAATAGAACCAGGTGACTCAAAGGCTTGTGAGTCACATGTATTACCAAAAGGATTATATAATTACATTTTAAAGTTAATAGGATTATATAATTACATTTTAAAGTTAATATTTATTTTCTTAATTTACTGAAAAAAGCCACTGAAATGTTATTAGAATTTACTGTTTTAGGAATGAACTACAACGAATCATAAACAATTATATTTTGAAGATTTTGAAAATTCACTTAAACGTTAGACATTTTGATAATTTCTAAAGTTTCACTTGACATTGTGAATAGCAGCTGAATCTAAACCGTGTGGAAACATCAAAAAACTTAGTTCTCCTCCCTTCCCTCCCCCCCCAGGAAATACAAATTAAACTTACATTTCATCTTTGAAAGGGCAGTGTTTTGACAAAATTGCTAACCTTTAGCTGCCTCTGTCATTAACTATATTTAGTATATGTGACCGTGTTGATTTCTTTCCAAGATTGATGTACTTCAAGCTGAAGTAGCTGCATTGAAGACACTTGTACTGTCCAGTTCTCCAACATCACCCACACAAGAGCCTCTGCCAGGTGGAAAGACACCTTTTAAAAAGGGGCACACGAGAAATAAAAGTACAAGCAGTGCTATGAGTGGCAGTCACCAGGACCTCAATGTGATACAGCCATTTGTAAAAGACTGCAAAGAGGTAACTCGTCAAGGACTGTCCCCTCTGACTCTGTTGATACTTATTTATTCTCATCAATGAGGTGTCAGTTATGATTTTTGCCAGCAAAGTTTTTAGCAGTATTAAGATGGGGGAGGCTTAATCTAGAGCTGGCTGCTTTCAGGGACTCTTCAGTTCCATTCTCTACCTGGCTGACCTTGGAGTACCTGCTGGAAACTTGGTAAGTTTATTCATCTTGATTTTTCATTTAAGGAGCAAACTCATGTTTTGCATAAAGGAGAGTGGATGGTTTTAATGATCTGGCTAGTTCAAATTTATTGCTAGGGTGCTTTAACAAAATAGGAGTGTAAGAGGTATGTGAAAACAGGGTGATTTCTTGAAGAATAGTATGTTGCTTTTCACATAAATTCTGGGAGAAGTAGAATTAAAATCCTAGAGTTCAGATAATTTAGCACCAAAAAACAGAACTAATGGAAGCCTTATTATTTTAAAAAATATAAAGATAACTGAGATAATGGGGAACTATATTGAACTGTTTTGAGTAAAAATTGTATAATTGTATTTTACTTAATCATTGCATGTGATGAGAATGCATTTCCAGGGGGATTGAGCAATAATTTATGGAACAGCCCTCTCGTTTTTTCTTAAAAGCTAAGTTTTACATTGTTGAATTCAAGTCCATTAATCTTTAAGAATATGTATGTGCTCATTCAGTTAAATTTTTATGCAGAAGTCAGGACTTTATTAAGCTGAATAACCAAGTTTGTTAAGTATTTTAATTGAATTCTCTTTTGTTTAGTTATTATCAAAAAATGCTGTGAGAGAGAAGTTCAATACTTGGTCACATCTGAATGTAACAAAATATAAAATTCACATTGGTTTTTGTTAAATATTTTGTTAAATATGATTTAAAAAGTGAGAAACTTTTTTTAGTCATAACTTTAATTTATTTGAATTTAAATAGCATTTTTTATTGGTTTGTACAACCTGTATTTTTGCCACGGTTTCTCAGTGTGTGTAATTGTACCTTTTTTCCTGACAGAATTGAAATGTTTTTCACAGGAACATTTTGAAGTTTTGTTTTTAGTTCATGAAATCTCTTAAAGTATGAATAGGCAGCATATAACTTCAAAATAATAACTTTTTGCCTTCCAGCTATATCCTGGTTTTGAATGTTTTGTGAAAAACGTGTCAAAAAGTTTTATTAGACAAAGGAAACATGTAAATTTGACCTGTGTACATCTTAATAAAAGATATAACAATCAAAGAGAAAGTGAAACATAGTCATGTTTCTGTAGGGCATTCAGTCCTGACTTTGGCAACATTTAAAACATGCCTGAGTGACCCACACCCACGTGCATAATGCAAGGATTTGAGAGCAAGTCTCTTAGACGTGAACTTGAGCGTTTACTAGTTTCCTGCTCCGTAACCTTGCGCAACTTACTTTCTCCCTCTAAGCCCTCGTTTCCTTTTCTGTAAAATGGAGATCATACTGTCTATCTTGCATAGCTGTGAGGATTAAATGTTTACGAAATGTTTACTATAGTCCCTGCTAGAGAGTCCATTTTTAATAAATAGTTTAAATCACTGCCTTTAAAGTAAAATCTTTCCTTAGAGCACCACTTACCTGCTGTGGCGTTTATGTCCACTAAAGGGTACATTTTACAAAGAAAATTAATTTGAAAATATAAGTATTACCTATCTGCTAATATTTTTATCCTTTTGCCTTTAGCTTTGATTCAAGGAATTTATGGACTGGGATGAAAAACTTTCACATTGAGACTGCTATTACACACCTTAAAAGAAAGTCTGTAGGAAAGGTTGGATACAGTCAGCCTTCCGTTGCTTTCCTGTAGACACCTGCACCTCTGACTCAGCTCCCCCAGAGGTCAGGCTGTGTCCGTGCCTCATCTGTAGTGTGCCCAGTGCTTCTGTACAAGGGCGCCTCAGATCAGAGCTGCAGGACGATGCCCAGGGATAGGTACAGCTTTGTGTGCTCACAGGTGGTATTTTTAGGGAGAAAATACTTGGGGAAAATTTGTTAAAAGGGAGGAGGGAAAGAGAGGGACAGCTGGAAGAGTGAATAGGAAGCTGGTGCCATCCTGGATTATTTTTGATAATTCATTTGGTAGTTACAGGGTGTTCTTATCTAAATAAATGTTATATTTTAAGATAGTCAATTTAGGAGGCTTATATGTGCGCTGCTTTTAGTCTTGCTGTTTATACAATAAGCACTTTGGAAATTCCTTTGGAAATGCCTTCAGGTAATAGTAGAACAATTTGTATCATTTTGAACCCCAGACTTCTGGTTTCACAATTTAGTTGGTTTCAGTTTATTGAAACACTTTATTTAATTAACTAAGGTCCAAATTAATTTTTGATTATTTTCAGAAAAGACTTGTCATCAGTTCTTATATTCAGAACAGTGTACATGTATGTCTGAAGAGGAGCTCCACAAGAATTTTTGGGAGGGATAATGGTAGCATCGTTAAATACCACTGTAGGTGCACTGAAAAGGGCCAGTTAGTCATTTGGGAGTTTCGATTTTTTAAAAAGAAAAATTGCTACCAGGTATTACAACTAATCAAGAATAGTTCAATCTATTATTTTAAATGAAGAGTATTTCTTTTTCAGTAATGTTTAAATAGGTTTTGGTTTTATAAAGTAATTTTGTATTTGTATCTTTAAAAAAGTTATTTTGTGCTTTCTTTTGGTTTGTCAGGCTGACTTGTCTCTGTATAATGAATTCAGATCTTGGAAGGATGAGCCCACAATGGACAGAACGTGTCCTTTCTTAGACAAAATCTATCAGGAAGATATTTTTCCATGTTTAACATTCTCAAAAAGTGAGGTAATTAACAAATTTTAAAAATAGGAATGCATTAGAGTTGTTCCTACACCTTTTACTAAATCATGTTATATATTCTAATCTCTCTCACATAAATTGGTGTTGTAAAATGTCATGTTTTATCATTTTTCCTGTTCCATATTAGGACCTTACTTTCTTGGCATTCAGGTGCTGAACATCTTTTCTTACTTGAGCAAAGGATCATTCACGCTGAAGTGTGTTGCACTGGAGTGAAGTATTAACTATGTACCAGGGGTGAGGCTCACTCTTGAGTCTCAGCCCAGGCTTCAGTGTGAGGGAACTTCTACATTCTTGGGTGCTGGGTGGGTTTATCTGTACTAGATAAAAATTTGTATTTAGTTTCTTCACCTTTAAAATGGGAAAAAAATGCCCACCTTGCCTATGTCATAGGGCTGTTAAGAGAATAAAATGAGATGAATTAAGTAGATAAACAAAAACTTTTAAAAATATAAGGCCCTATACACATGTAAGGTCATAATTTTAATTTGTTCTTATGCGTGGAAGGTTTGTGTATAGATATCCTGTCAATCAGTGTGTAAGATAGTTAACCCTAAAAATCATGTTGTCTTTAGAGAATTTACTGGTAATGCACTCGTAAGAAGTTAAGATGAGCAGAAAACCACTTTTGCCACGTAGATGTGTTGTTCCTTGCGGCTCTGTGCCTGCTCAGGTTGGCCATTTAGGATTAGTAATTTTGCCACCAAAGTTGTTTGCCTTTTTCATCTGTTGTTTATTAGTTGCTACCATCTCCATCTGGGCACTTAATATTTGATAATTCTGTTAATTCTTTTGTAGACTCACTCTGGTACACATAAATGCAAGTTGAGAAAATACATAGCTATTATTGGTATATGTTGCTGCCTTATGAATGACCAATATTACAAATATTGCATATATTTAGCAAAATAAAGCATCAGGATATTGTGGGTCAGGTTGAACAGAGACTGGAATTAATGCCTTTAATCCTCTCCCAGATAATGAGAAAAGTTATTTAGCTGTAACTGAATTGCCTTTCATAACAATGTTTGAATTGTAAAAGAATTTAAACCATGATTACATGGTTTCCTTTTTTCTCATTGGCTAAGGCCAAGCTAGTGGAACTTGGGGAAAAACATTTTAAAAATTGGTTTACTGTAGAATACAAATTTGCCATAATTCTGCCAGCATAGTGTCTAATACTTTTTATTTTTTTAAAGTTGGCTTCGGCTGTTTTGGAGGCTGTGGAAAACAATACTCTGAGCATTGAGCCTGTGGGATTACAACCTGTTCGGTTTGTGAAAGCTTCTGCAGTCGAATGTGGAGGGCCAAAGTACGTTCTCAAAACCTTGTCTCCTACAAGATGCTGAGTTTTTACATCTTTTTGTGTTGTATTTATTTAGTTCTTCTAGTTTTAAATGTGATTAAATTTCTTGTCAGCTTTCTATTTAGAGTCTGTGCAGCTCAAGCACAAATCTCCAGACAGTGTGGGATAGAGCATTTCAAAATAGAGTCGAAGGAGAGCCCTTTTAATTACAAATATATATATATATATATGTTAGGGATCCAGGTAGACCAGGTGTTAGAAACTTTTTCTTTAAACCGCATGTCGTGACCCGTTAGTTAATCATGAAGTCACTCTAGTGGGTCATAAGCAGATTTTTTGTTTGTTATACATGTATGTATAGTTTTGTGTCCTCGGTTTCTGTGTTAAATATTTCATCCCAAGGGTCACCATCAAAATTAGTTTGGGAAGACAGTGATTTAGACCAAGGCTTATCAAGCATGAAAAGAGGTACCAAAAAGACTTAATTGGCCCTCTCCTTTCATACTGTCATAATAAAGGATTCTCACTTTGGTAAATAATCAGTTCTGTCTTCCAAATGTGAGAGATTTGGCAATTATAAATCTTGAGAAGTAGGACTCCTGCATTTCATATCAGGGCAGGTTTTTTTCCATCCAGTCCTAGGAGGAAGAAAGACTGAAATCAAAAGTACCTAAAACCTTTGGCCCTGCTGTTTAAAAAGTGACTTGGAAAGATTTTGAGGAAACTGCTTAATTGGTGGTTTAGAACCAGATGTAGGTGAAAGGTTAAGGTTGGTGGTATAGGGGCAGGCTGTGTAGCCATCTCAAATGGTGATAAAGAAAAGTTGAATTTATTTAGGAAGAAGGGATGGGCATGTTCCCCTAGTGGGGAGCACGCACTGGGTCCTTTGTCCTGAGCGTATTTATCTCTTTCTTGCAGGTAGGAATGTTAGGGGAGCTCTCAGGGGAGTGTCTCAGGAGAATATTCTTCAGCTTCCAGCTGTGCTCTTTCAGGGTCGTGGTCTCCACTGATTGGTTGGTCCCAGGGCAGGGGGTCTTAGCGTGTCTGGTCCTGAGTCAGCCACTGGGCACCACTTGTCTGATTTTGCTGCTTTTCTGGTCCTGAGTCAGCCACTGGGCACCACCTGTCTGATTTTGCTGCTTTTCTGGTCCTGAGTCAGCCACTGGGCACCACTTGTCTGATTTTGCTGCTTTTCTGGGCCTGCAGCTGAAACACTAGTGAGGTCTAGATGTTATCTTTAGTTAGGAAAGCTCAGGGGCTCTAAACCGCAGGACCAGCTATGTGCTAGGGGAAGATAGATTACCTTGCGGACAAGGTTCTTGTTTTCCCAGTTTCACCCCTTGTAGGCTTCTGGGGCTTCCTGCCTGGGTGAGTTTCTGTCCTTGCTCTACTCATGTCTGTCTGACAATAGGGGACTGGAAAACTGGTAGAAGGCACTAAGTGACTCGTCTGGGTCACTTTGAAGGCAGGGGAGGAAAAGGCTGGTTGAGATTCACTGTAGGTCTGTGTTAAAGCCTGTGTGGGAGTTGTATGATTCTTCCTGTTCCCCATTTATGCAAATTACCTTTCAGTAGGATCACAGTGTTGGTATTTGGGTAATCACTTGTGGAGGGACTTGGTCATGCATTTGCTCTGTGAGCCACATACCCACTTAGAGTTGTGTCCTGTTCTGTACTCCCCCTCCCACCTCCCTGAGCCACATGTGCAGCACAGTGGCCTCTGAATTTGGGGGAACATATTTACATTCTTAAATTCTAGTCCTTCACAAACACCCAAGTATTTTTATCCTGATCATTAATGCTAGCAGTTTTCATGCTTTTAAGGGCTGTGTTATACCTAATTTTACATATAGCATATAGTAGTTTTTATTGTAAAAATTTTAAATTTGTGCTTGTGTAATATATCACATACATGTGCAAATAACATGGGATATCAGTTAAAGTGGATTTATATAGTATGTTAGTAAAATAATTATATAGATTAAGGTCAGAGAACAGTTTACATAGCTTAAGGATTTTGTGCTTGTGGGAATAGGGCCAGAAGCCCATTTTTTGTTCAGTGCATATTTGGTGGAAAACACTTGAGGGAAGATACTGTCCTCTTTTATGGAATGTGAAGTGTGGCCCTGAAGGCTGCCATGGACTGGGTTAGGAAGAAAATCCCTAAGTGAATGGCAGGTGCTCTGGGAATTTTGAGGAAGGCAGTCAAGTCAGTCCATTGGTGGTGGTCAGTGTCTGTTCTTGGAGGAAGGGAGATTTGATCCGGGGTGTGAAGCATGGGTGGAATTTGGATAGAAAAAGAACAATACATATGACTGAAAGCCTAGAACCAAGGAAACGGTGTGTTCAGAGGGTGGCGAGTATATGGAGAGGAAGGATGTGACAAATCTAAAGAAAGGAAATTTAGGAGACAGATGTGGGTGGGGATGGGGAGAGACAAAGGAGTTAGAGATGACTGAGCAGAAGAATGATGTGACCTTTTGGGAATTAATCGGAAGGGCTCAGCTTTGGGGAAGATGATAGGTCTGGGTTTAAACAGGTTGACATCCCAAGTGAAAATGGAAGCTAGGATTTGAAATCTTGGAACTGGAGCTGTGAACAGATATTGAGGTGTAGTGTAGCATGTTAACAAAACGTTGGGATTGGAGGCCAGAAGACTTAGCATTGAGTCCCAGCTCAAATAAAAATACATTGGCTGTGACAGTTTACAGATGGGTTTAAAAATGAGATAAGTTAAACACTTTATTATTTCAGAAATTGATGCTGAAAATCACTTTAGCAGAGCCTTTCAAAATTAGACAAAAGAGTAGACAAACAAGTATAGTCTCTTTCTAGAAGGATAGTGTGTAAATTTATTTTTATCAGTGTGATGGTACTTTTTTTTCTCTTGTGTAAATTATACTTTTGAAAGTTCCAAAGATTTCCAACACTTGTGCCTTAAATTTTTTGATCTTCTCTCCCCCCAGGCTTGCATAGAGGTAGGGGCAAAATGTCTTTAATTTTAGAAAACTAAAATTTATCATTATTTTACAGAAAATGTGCTCTCACTGGCCAGAGTAAGTCCTGTAAACACAGAATTAAATTAGGAGACTCTAGCAACTATTATTATATTTCTCCATTTTGTAGATACAGGGTAAGTAAATCATGAATTTTAATAAAGCTCACTGTTATGAGACATTTGATTATTTATGACATTTTCTCCTTTTGGCCTAGATCACGTCTGTGTGTAACTTTTTTACATACATTCGATATATTCAGCAGGGACTTGTGAAACAGCAGGATGGTGAGTGTTCTTCATTTATTATGAAATGTTTACATAACAGTTCAGTAAAAAGTGTAGGTTACAGTGGTAATGTTCAAATAAACTTTATTATTGGTATATTTATAGAGTCTCTTTTATAGTTCTAATAAAATGTGTGGAGAGTTTGGGAACAAATGTCTCTTTTAAAACATTGTTTTTAATCCTTATATTTGCTTCATTTTACTCTAATTTTTTTTTTTTAATCCTCACCTGAGGGTATTTTTCCCCCATTGATTTTTAGAGAGAGTGGGAAGGAGGGAGGGAGGGAGGGGAGGACAGAGAAACATCGATATGAGAGAGACACTTTGATTGGTTTCCTCTGGATTCAACCTGCAACCGATGGACGTGCCCTTGACTGGGGAATCGAGGCCAAGACCCTCAGTCCAAGAGCCGATGCTCTGAGCCAAACCGGCCAGGGCCATTTTACTCTAATTTTGAGTTTTAAGCAGGATCAGTTTTAACTCCTAAGACATATATGATAAACTAGATAACTGTGAGGGGAGTACAAAGCTCATTGAATTTACTCTTTAAGAGATAAAAATGAGCAAGTGCTAGACATGGTCAGATTTATTTTAATTGGTGAAAACCATGAGGAACTAACAATTTTTTTCTGTATTTTCACATTAATAAAGCAGTGTGAATTAATAAAGTAGTCATGAGGATAATTCTGAATGGAATAAAGATTACTGTATTCTAAGACAACAGAAACATGCAGATGATCTGTCCAGGAGATATTCTTAAATATAGTCTTTCATGGTCAATGATGGTTTTATAACTGAACATCTTAAGTACCAGGCATAAAAACAGATGTGGCCTGACAGCTCCAAGCAGTGCTTCCTGAGTACACATGATTGTTGTAAAACAGAATCACAGACACTGGGCTAGGGGCAAGGCCCTGCCAGTTTTGTATTTGAAGTTGTGGGAAATTTTCCTGTTTATATACTTTTTAGACACTGAACATATTCTTATACTTAAAAACTAAGAAGCCTTCTATCTTTATCAGGTAAACCAGTGAACTTAAGTCTATGGAAAAATTAGTCATGCCCATAAAAACTTAGTTTAGCATTTCTCAAGCTCTGGTATATTGAAAACAGTCATTTATTTAGAATACCATGTAACTAGATTTTAATGCCTAAAAGAATAAAAGTGAAAACTGTCTCTAATTAATGTGGAATTTCAAAAGGCTGTGTAGCATAAAAGTAGTCTTTCAGCTGTACAATGCTTTTTATGACTTTAATAAAATTGAAGTCTTTTTAATCCTGTTGGTGGATAACATGATTTAAGCTGGAGAACAGATGACTTGTGTTATGTTCAAGTGTCAAGCATATTTTTTCTCCTTGTTAAAATGATGTTTTTGTAGGGAAGGCTAAAAGATAATTTACTTTATGTAAATAGAAAGAAAGAATCATGAGCGATGCGGTGATGGTAATGAAAGTAATTTCTTCTCTGGTTTCTATCACTCTTCTACTTCACAGTATTTGATACACATCATATACCGTGTGGGTTTGCAGTAAATAAATATTATTAATGTAAAAATCTGTTTATTGGCCCGGCCGGGCGTGGCTCAGCAGTTGAACATCGACCTAGGATCCAGGCGATTGGGGTTCGATTCCCAGTCGGGGCTCGTGCCCAGGTTGCGGGCTCAATCCCCAGTTGGGGACGTGCAGGAGAAGGCCGATCGGTGACTCTCTCATCATTAATGTTTCTCTCTCTCTCTCTCTCTCTCTCTCCCCCCCTCTCTTCTCTCCTCTCTCTGAAATCAATAAAGATATATTAAAAAAAAATTTTTAAAAATCTGTATATTATCTGTGCCTGCAACTAAGTCAAGAGCAAGGTTTTTCAGCCTTTGTACTATTAACATTTTGAGCTGGATAATTCCTTATTGTGGGGGACTATCTGGTACATTGTAGGATGTTTAACAGTATCCCTGAGCTTTACTCACTAGATGCCAGCAATGAAAAAATGTATCTAGACATTGCCAGATGAACCCTTGGGGACAAAATCTCCCCTGGTTGAGAACCACTGATCTAAATCAGTCTAATCTGATCATATGTCAGATTTTATAGTCTGAAATACAGAGTTATCTTTTTTCTACTTACAGAGGGGGCTCCCAAAAATAGAGATAATGGAAATTTACTGGTTATCCTCTACATTTATTTTTATTTCTAATTTGAGCCATATATAAAATTTTCACTATTAGGCACAAAGAATGTTATTGAGTTCTCTAGACTGTCTCGCTTTCCTTTTCACTCTGTTAGTATTAATGAAAAGTGAAACAGCCAAGATGTAGCAAACTAGAGCAAGAAGATCTAGAAGTTAGAGAGTAACTCTTGCATAATTGAGCATTAAGTGTAATTACTTATGAAGGCAGCAGCATTGCCATTTACTCAGGACCCTGAAATGTCTACTTTCTGTGGGGCTAAAGTGTGACAGTCACTGATCTACCTAACAAATAGTTGTAGCAGACTTCTGAGTACTGCTTATTTATTGACAAAACTGGGATATTGCATGCCCCAATTGCAGGCTCAATCCCGGGTGGGGGGTGTCCAGGAGGCAGCCGGTCTGTGTTTCTCTGTCTCATTGACATTTCTCTCCCCCTCCCCCTCGCCTCTTTCCCTCCCTCTTCCTCCCTTCCTCTCTCTCTAAAAATCAATGAAAATATTAAAAAAAAACTGGGATGCTCACAAGTGTATGAAGAAGTTTGTGTGAAATAGTGATAGAATGTCTAAGTATTAGGTACGTCAGTAGGAAATGCCAGTCGGCACTTCAGCTAATCTTAAATTTTCAATGAAACAGGTTAAAAATAATTAAGATGGTGTTTTAAGATTTATGTGTCTCTCTTTTCTGTTTGTGTAGTTGACCACATGTTTTGGGAAGTTATGCAGTTGAGGAAAGAGATGTCACTGGCAAAGCTGGGATATTTCAAAGAGGAACTCTGATCCTCTGCCTAGGACCATGCAACAACCTCCCTGATGCCTGGAAAATGGCTGAATATTCATGGTTACATGATATTTATTTCCACGGTGTGGGCCCCAGACTTTTTCCGTCTTGCAAATCACACCAAGAAGTACTGTGATTTCTCTTAAACTGGCCTGTGCTGTGTTTGCTTGTTCTTTAGTTGAACACACTATAAAGAATTACAGGTGTACTAGTGATTGTAATTTATAGTCGCAAAAAAAGCTAAATAAATAAATGTTAGATTGAATGTGTTTTTGCTTTCTCTTCTAGCTCTGACATAGCATGAGGGGTCAGCTGAATGTATTGAATTACAGTTTTCAAACTGCACAGCAGCTTGCGGGAGGCAAGGAAGAAGGTTGAGTGGACAGGATCAGATTCTGCGTCTCCACTAGGATGACTCTGTTTATATATATTAGGATTAAAAACAGGTTTTCTTTAAAGAGACTTCTGCCACTAAAAAGTTTGAAAGTTACTGTTTTAATCATTCTGTTCTTGGTAATCCCTTTATTATGGTGATTAATTAAATATAATAGATAGAGGACAGTCACATTTTATCCCAGAAATGCATTCTTGAGCATCTTGATGTAACATATCCATACTTTATATATGTTGAGCACTGTAATAGGCATTGAAAGGATATTAAGATAAGGGATTTGATGTATGCTCAGGGAACTTTGCAGGGGGGTGTGGGTTGAAAGAATGGTACATGCGGAGTATACACCGATCATAGAATCACTTGATCTGTAAGTTCCAAATTGTAAAACTGAGAAGCTGTTTTACATGTGGAAAAGCTGTTTATTAAAATTATTTTTAAAAGGAAAGAGATTCATGGTAGAAGTATAGCAAGTATAAAAAAGCAAAAAGAAGAAATGACAAATCAGTCTCCCCATCTAGAGGAAACTACTGCTAATGTTTTTTAAGAAGAATGGCTTTTCAGCTTTCAGCTACTTCCCACCTGACACACAGTTCTGAAACTAAAAGTAGACTTTCTTTATTTTTCTACACATCTTAATTACCCCAAGGTTTTGTTTATAGGATGTTAATATAATTTGATTGTGTTTGTAGATTAGGTTTGAAAATTTATTTTTATATCATAGTGCTGTGATGAGTATCTTTTTGTATATTCCTTTGAACATTGTTGGGTTATTTTCTTCATGTAGGTGCCTAGAAGTAGGTGTTGGTCAAGCACGGTATATGAGTATTTTAACATTTTTTATCTGGATTGCTCAAATGCCCTCTAGAAAAGTTGAACCAATTTATATTCACAGCAGCAGTGTATGAGAGCTGGTTTTCTGAAGATGACATTATTTTCAGTCTTGTCTCAAAGGCTTAGTCAGCCTTACCAGTAGAAGACTCAGTCACCAGGATGGATGAGAGTCCTCAGACAAAAGGACATTTGAGAATGAAGTAGTAGAAACAGTGATTGCCATGCCCCGCTCAAGAATCTGAAATTGAACATGAAAAGAACTTTGAACCTAGAATTTTATGTCCTGATAAATAGTTATTCTAATGTAAGGACGTAATAAAAATGTTCTCAGACTGCCCGGCCAGCGTGGCTCAGTGGTTGAGCACTAACCCATGAACCAGGAGATCTCGGTTCAATTCCCGGTCAGGGCACATGCCCGGGCTGGGGGCTCGATCCCCAGTAGGGGGCGTGCAGGAAGCAGCTGATCAATGACTCTAATCTGATGTTTCTTTCTCCCTCTCCCTTCCTTTCTCTGAAATCAGTAAAAACATTTTAAAAAATATTCTCAGACTTTCAAAACTTTAGAAGATTTTCTACACAAAGATGGATATTAAAAACACCTTTGGAGAAAGCACTTAAATATAAAGAGAAACAATCCAGGAGATACAATGAGAGATTTGGGAAGAAAAGTAATCAGATAATTAGGGAAAGTTTGTCAGTAGCTTTAAAAAGAGTAAATAAAAACAATAGGACTGCCCTGGCCAATGTGGCTAGTTGGTTGGAGCGTCATTCTGTAAACTAAAAGGTGGTGAGTTCAATTCCTGGCCAGATTGGGTATGGGAGACAACCTATGTCTGTCTGTCTCTCACTTGCTCTCCTCTCTCACCTCTCTCTCCCTCCCTCCCCTCTTCCTTCCTCTAAAATCTTTTTTTTTT